TGCTTTCATTGTCTAATAATTCATTTGTCAACAAATCATCAGAGTTACTTTCATTGCTTTCATTGTCTAATAATTCATTTGTCAACAAATCATCAGAGTTACTTTCATTGCTTTCATTGTCTAATAATTCATTTGTCAACAAATCATCAGAGTTACTTTCATTGCTTTCATTGTCTAATAATTCAGAATCACTTTCAGGAACATTAGTAGTTTCTATCATGCTGTGATTCAACTCTCCAAATGGTTGATCATTATCATCAACTATAATAAATGAATTGACAGCGTCAAAAGATTCTGGTTGTGTTGGAACTTTTGACCCGGTTGAACCGTTTTGAGACGGGTGACCCGGTTTACAATAACCCGGTTCTAACTCTAGTATAGACATATCGCCATTTTCAGTAAATATAAACGATAAACGCTCTGTCATGTCATTTTTTTCAGGGTCCGAATTAACGGGAATAAACCTAATTGTTAGAGTCAAATTGGTAAATATAACTAAAATAAAATAAAATAAAATAAAAAAGAATGCATAAGTGTCAAATTAATTTACATTCGATATCCCGGCTCCTTGACTTCGTCATCTAATATTGCAAATTTCACCCTTGTATCATTCGTCGATTCTCCTTTTGAAACATTCATTTCCCAATTCTGATGAACTTCAACGCAATGTAGCCCCTCTGTTGACCTACATTGATTATAGCGTGTAATCATTGCCTGAATTATAATTAAAGCTTGGTAAGAATGATTATTGATTAATTAAGAAAATGTACAGCCTAACATACCTCAAAGAGTATTGCTATCACCAAAAACAAGTCTTTTTGCAAATTTATAACGGACAAAGTCTGATTATAATCGTAGTCATGTAGGTTGATGTCACCTCTAATCTCTCTGATACATTGTGAGAACTCTTCATTAGACATTAAATCACTTGTATATATTCGTTTATCCGGTTCATTCTGTTAATAAGGAACAAAAATTTTTTTTCAGCTCAAATAAATAAACGCTATTGTTATACATATTACATATCTGCGTGTATATATATATATATTAACATACCTTACCATACCACCATAACAATGTTCTCCAAAATTTTCTCTGACTTTCACGTGGTTTCCAGCATTCTTGTGATGCTAGGTATAATATCTGACCTAAGGATTCCGCCCCCTGGTCAACAACACAATGATACTGCCTTTGGATAAGTAAAATTATAAGAAAAAATTCAATGTCTATCAAAGTAGGTGTTTCAATTATTAGATTCCTTTTGGTTTTTCTTTCTTGTTTTGACAACAAGTGAGCCAGTCCAGCTCCCATTTGATTCCGTATCGACATGTTTTCAAACAATGATGATAAGGTTTGAATGGACGATGGAATATCATGGCGTTTTCCGGGTTCCGGAAACTGGTAGTTAACTATATTTGTTAAGATTAATAAAGAAACCAATAAAATACATACATAATTACAGACCTTTGGGCAGTCTTCTAATCTCGGAAATATATATCGTAACCATTCTCGTAACACACCATTTTCCATATACCAAGCAGAAACAGCCAAAAAACTGTATTTGACATAAGATTATTTAGTTTATATGTACGTACTTAAACATGCATTTTTGTAAGTGAGAACTCCTTACCGATCCAAATCATATGGGGCACAAAATGCTATCTTATCAATCTGATTTGCCATTCGAGCCAACCATTTCAATGTACTTAATTCTGCCAGTTGGTTTTTACCGACATTTTGAATCAACTCCTTAATAAGACGAACATGTCCAGGTAAAACAAAATTTTGTCTAACATCATCTTCATATTGAGAACATGGTTTCAATACATATGCAGCGGAATCGCTTTTATTCAACCAAGCATAATCAAAGCAATGCAACAAAACCAATAATTGATGAGAAACATCACTTATCCGTTGGCACATTAGGTAAATAAAATGAGTAATTGGACGATTAGGGTCACGGAAAGTCTCACGGCGAAAAGACAAGCATGTTTTAAATTTTGAATAAGCAGCACAGAGATGCTCTTGATTTTTCTGTACTGTCTTAGACACCAGAAGCTTGAATTGACTCAAATCAGAAGATGCGAGTTTAAGTTGGAAATATCCATCATGGCGTAAGCTTCGATATTGATATTCCTAAGCAAGCATAATATTAAAATTAAAATAATTTATATCCTTTTGGAAGATCGTATAATAAATTAATCGATTAAAATAAACCTGTCGGTAACGTGTCCACTTTTCAACAACTTGATGATTTTGCGATGAAGGTGTTTCCCATGTCTTTATAAGATCTGAAAACTCCTTCACAAGTTTTCCAGATTCATCGCGTGGTCTATGTAAACGATGTTAGTTAAAATCAACGTTTACAAAAATAGGTCGAATTTAATAGATAAATTTATACTTACTTTATTTTTAACGATAGTCTAACAACATTGTCACAAGCGAAAAATATCAACTCCGTTGATTCATGTAAAAGCTCCTTTATACTGTCAACAGTGGCTAACTTTCTCAGCTTTGGAAACGTATTCTTGACAAAGAGATTCCATTCTAAGCTATCAACGAAATTATAACGTCGCTGTAATACATGTTTCCATACACTTAAATATATGAATGTACATTTCAATTATATTGTTAATTTCTCAAAAAAAAATAAAATATAATTTTTTTGTTCACTTATATCCGTTGTAAAATTTACCGTTGATGATCATGCATTTTCAATAAGGCCTTAGCAAGAATTATATGAAAAGTGGGATCGATGAAAGTATCCTCAACCGTTAACAAGCTTTTTATAGTATCATCAATCCACTGAATACTAGCCACTAAGCAAATTTCCAGTGTCAACAAATTGATTTGAGGGAAATAAAACCAAGTTACGTCCTTTAAGGTACAATGATGTACCTGGTGTACTTCCATCACGACGCTTTAAGCAACCACGCCTATCAGATTGCCTTTCTGCATGTTGAACTATAATGACATATGTTTTATGCAATAATTGTACTGCTCGAGGAATGTATTTTTTATTTACTTGACGAGTTCTATTTATAAAGATTACAAATAAATAATTTGATATATAAATTATATATGGGAACCCCCAAAAAATTGAGTTTAGAAAAAAAAATTTTTTTTGGCCCGTTGCTGTGGAGTCCCCATATAAATAAGTGACAAACCTTTCGATCCAAAATAAGGACTTATCAGTAAATTTTTTTATTTCAGTTTCATCTTTAGCCTTTTTCGCTAGCAGTATGCAGAGTTCAGCAGCTTTATATTTGCATAAGACGAATTTATTATGTGCTAATATAAATTATAGAAAAATAAGCATGAAAATTATTTTGGATAAAATTACCGTCTAGCGCACGATCTTGTGAAGCACCTTTGCTACACAAAGCTCTAAACAAAAATAAAGAATAATTAAATCTGCAAGTAAAATGACAGCAATAAACTTGGTTTACCTTTCATAGAAATCTAAAGCAGCCTCTAGCCTGCCCTGTCTTCTGTAAACAGTACCAAGTAGATCGTTTGCCTAAGTATACTTGGGTTATTACAAGTTTTAATCAAATGTAAGCACAAAATTGAAAAGAACTTAATTGCAGGTTCTTACCTCATAATCCTCAGATCGTAGTTTCAAAAGTTCAAGTAGATATTTTTCAGTCTTGGAATAGTTTCCAACTTTAAAGTACAAGTTTGCGATTGAAAGCCATGAGTACTGAACGCGATTCGGTGATACGTCCGTACCAATGGTTTGGGAAACATATTCGTCTATTTCGCTGCTTGTATTAAAGACAGATGGTGATGGTGTATAACGTCCCATACCCTGTTATTTTACTAAAAAAGAAAAAGGTGTTTTATTAATATTAACAACGATGCTGTCGTAAATCCGATCTATAGGCAGACTTTCTTCTGATTGGTCGTTGTAAGAGTAATTTAATAACCACGTGATTAAGGGTGTTCTCAAGCTAGTAATTGTGATACGTAGTGCACAACCATTATAGTAATATTTAATTCTGTAATTAGACCATCGTTGAAGTTCAAATGATAGTATAATTGACGTATCTTCCTCGATGTGATCGATGTGATCGTGATGATGCTCAAGTATTACGATAAATTAAAATATTGATTGCAATTGGTGCTTTTTATCATTATTACCATTTCGCCATTATTAGAATTAACAAAAAAATATAAAAACTCCATTTTCAACAATTCCAAGTTTTGTTTCTTCTTTTTCAGACTTTACTAAAGTTAACAGTAAAACA